TAGTTTCATTTAAAAGTTGCGCAAATATTTTATCCCCTTTGAGAGTACACTGGGGATGCATCTAGACAGCCCCTGTAATGCATGAGTTACCACAATTAAAAGGGGGCTGTTCAGATGACGTTCTGGACAAACCCAAATTAATTCACCACAAACCAGGAAAACCCTGGTCTGTGGTGAATTAATCCATGCCTTCTTGGAAGGTGTGTCTGGAAGTAGTGGGTGTCTGAAGTTCAGAAAGTAGTCCCAAGGTTTTCTGGGCTAAATTAGCTTGGAAAACCATGAGATCACCAACCTCCTCCCCAAAAGCCCTCCAAAGTCCTGTAAAAAACAAAAGAACTTACCCGGCCTCCATTAGAGAGCTGCCGGAGTTCTCCTGACATGTCATTTCTACATGCCAGGAGAGCTCCAGCAGCCCTCTAATGGAGACCACGTAAGTTCTTTTGTTTTTTTCAGGGCTTTGGAGGAATGGGTTAGAGTGTCTGGGTGTTCTCCCAGAAAGTTCCAGGAGAACATCTGGACATGACCCCAGAAAGCACAGGTTTCTGGGGCCAGTGTGGATGGGCCCCCAGAAACGTTTCCAATTTTTTTAAATGCTAATGTTCCCAGGAGAAATGTCTGTCTAGAAGTGCCCTAAGTTCACTGTCTGGATCCATTCAGTTTCTGCAGCTGTATTCTTTGCTCTTGAGATACTGTTTGCAACCTCAAATTTGCAGCAGCTTTGCTATTATTGTTTATAATGAAAATTCTCAATTTCAAAAGATGGCCATCCTTGCAGTTGTTCAGAAGACACCTGGGTTGCCACTACTTATATTTTTGCAAAACATGTGGTCTTACCACAATAAGAAAGGAGAGGTGTTATTGGAGGCCACAATTCTATATGTGGCATTTAAGTACAGGGTAGAGGATAAGTTTTAAAAAAACCTTTTCAGTTGCTGCAAGCACCTCAATACTAGATTATGCAGAAAAGCCATCAGTTCCTATTTTGAGACTTTCCAGTAGGTTCTTATAAACGATCTGCATTGTTAATTCACATTCAGTACTCATGAAACTGTTGGGCAGTTTCAGGGTGTAACCCTGACAAAAGCAGCTGCTCGTGTGTTGTTTTCATTTACTTGGTTATTTATTTTAACGTATTTCTGTATCACCTCCCAGACCTCAAAGGCTTCCAAGGCGATGAACAAATAAAAACCAGCTAGAGCAGTACAGTATAAAAACAAAAACATTTGAAAAACTCGCTTTTATGATATTTGGGCCCTAATTAATTTACTAAAATATACATTCTTGTATGCATTGAAATTGATATTAGAACTGTAGTTCCCAACCTTTTTTTGACCAAGGTTTCCAACACTTTCCAAAATGGTTACAAATCAGTTTTTGGTCAATGCTGGATTCAGTTTGGTTATTTGTGATGCTGATTCAGAAAATTGCACTGGATAGACCACATCAGCTCTAGTTTCTGATACAGAACATATGTCATGCAGTAGTCCCCATCCCTGCTCTCTTCTTGGCTGTCTTCATTTTATTGCTGCTCCTCTTACTGTGATCCCTAAGCAACATCAGGAGCAAGGGACTGGGTACTCTTTGTGTGACTCAGGATGTAAGAGGAGTGCATATTTGACAATCCTGATATTTAAAGTAAAATACTCTGATATGATTTGGTATGGAAGGAGGCCCATAGGGTTACTGAACTGGGTGATGCCAGCTCGAGTGATCATAGAATCGTAGAAGCATTGAGTTGGAAGAGATCTCATGGGCCATCCAGTCCAATCCTCTGCCAAGAAACAGGAAATGCATTCAAAGCACCCCCAACAGATGGCCATCCAGCCTCTGTTTAAAAGCCTCCAAAGAAAGAGTTTCCACCACATTCTGAGACACAGAGTTCCACTGATGCTGCTGCCTTCCACTTGCCTCAGTAATTTAACCATAATATCTTATACACTTAGCAGTTACCTGTGAGTCACTTAGGATGGCCACCAATACATGTGATTCTTCCTTGCCTGTTTCTTCCTGAGATTTGTACTCTTCCAGTTACATAACTGTATTATGGTTTTGGCCCTTGCTTAACTTTATTTTGCAGAAGCAACTATCACTTTATTATATACCAAAGGATGCTTATGAATCCAGGGATTTATGTAAGATGTTTACGGAACCTGAGGTTGGCCAGGTATTCACCACATGGACTGCCACACTGCAAAATGTGTGCTTTGATTTTGAAAGGAAGTGTAGGAATCAAAGTTTAGTGAGTTCAAGTGAATTTGCAGAAAGTCTGCATCAGATGGTGCAAATACAAACCCTAATTTTCTTCCTGAAGTAAATGTGACAGTCAGCTGCCAAGGAAGCCAACATTCAATTCAATATTTCTGAAAAGGGACCAGGCTGTGAGATTGTATATAATCTCCCTGCCCCTCCATCATGCTCTCCTAAAAGCTGACCATGAATTAGAAATATGGAAGGAAGCTTGCAAAACATTTGCAATCAACGTTATTTATTGTGTGGTTTTAAAAGTAATTGTTCTCCCAACTATTGCAAAGAGGGGAAAGTCATTATTATTAATACTTGCCATTTCTTGCATTTGAAGTTACTTTTTTCAGGAACAAAACAACCTAAGATAAGCAACTTAAAGCTCACCCAGAAGAGAGAAAAACACCTCTGAAAGTATCACTGTGCGTTGTGAAGACAGGCAACAGTGGATTTACGTAGTATCTGATTTTTTTGGGCTATGTAGACAAGCCTTGATTGGCAAAACACTTGAAATAGCCTTGTCACAGTACTGTTAAATAAAAGTGATCCCAAAAGTAACTTTGAGATGTAACTAGAAACAGAACTGAACACAGTAATAAAGTGTTCTCTTGCTCCCTTTTGCTATTTCAGTTTTGTAATATAAATTTGTAACACCTTTGTTGCCAAGATCAAATGAATGATTTGTAATTTGTCATGAGTAAATTCTATAAATCTGGTCATGTAAACTGGAAGCCTAAAGATCCCAACATTTGGAGAGGACTGGAGAGGGACAAATATGGTGAGGATCAGTAAGGATGGAATAAATGCTGTGCCCATCACAAATGTGCATACCTATGTGACTATTTACCACCAGGACTGTAGTAGCATAGTTTTCTCATGGTAAATGTGAATGTGCATCCGGTCAAGCAGGAAATACATTTTCATGAAGTGGAAAAGAATTGCGTATTTTTCCTCCTTTCATCCATGCTACCACAGATGACTAATACAGGTATGTGTGGTAGGTGAGTTAGTAAACAGGTTGGGCATCTAGTAAGGCATGACTTAGAAAGGAACATCATGTTCCATGTATTTGGATTTTTGTATATATATTGTATATTTTGGAAATTCAACTGCTGAGGTTGCATTTTGAAGGGAGAGGATAGGAATAGGGTAGCCATGTGCCCTGTGTTGTCAAGGAGAGCTTCGTAAAAGACCTTCTTCTTTTGAATGCCATTTTGGCTTAAAGTAAGCATGGGCAAACTCTTTAACTTTGGGGTTGCATGGTGGGCTGGAGTGGGGTGGGTGGGCTGGGAGGGAGGGAGTTCTTTCCAAGTCCCCTCCCTGCCCTTTCCTCCCCTTTCTCTTCTCTTTCAGAGGCAGAAAGTGAAATAAAAACAGGAAACATGTGGATTTCAAAAGGGTTAGCCATGGTCAGGATGAGATGGTGGACAGGAGAGAAAAGGTGTATCCATTAGACCCCATATTGCCTACTCCTGACATAGATTCCTGGAGCTGGCAGAGACCCTCCAAAGGGCATCCAGTCCAACCCCCTGCCATGCAAGAAGACACGATCAAAGCACTCCCCATAGACAACCTCTGCGGGAAAGCCTCCAGAGAGGCTTTCCACACTCCGGCACAGCCTATGGCACTCTCCAACAACTCTTACTCTCGGGAAGTTCTTCCTAATCTTTTCAGTTTAATCTCTTTCCCTGCCATTTAAAACCATTGCTCCCTTGTGCCCTGGTCTCTAGAGAAGCAGAAAATCAGTTTTCCCCTCCCTCCTCCTTGATGGGACACCTTTTAAATCTTGGAACATGGTTCTCATGTTTCCTCTCAACCTTCTCTTCTCCAAGCTAAACATCCCCAGGAGAATAGGAGGAAGGAAAAAGAGAAGGAAGGGAATGGAACGGAAGGAAATGAGAAGGAAGGAGAGACAAAAGGGAAGGAAAGAAGTAAGGAAGGAGAAAGAGAGAGGGAAGGAGGAAGAAAAGAAGGAAGGAAGGAAGGATCAGATAGGATGGTGATATAGAAGAAGGCCTGAGAAAAGAGCCCAAGGGGCTGCCCCTGGCCCCCAGACCTGGGTTTGCCCATACCCGGTTTAAAGGAATGCCTAATTGAGTCTAATTAAATTTTAATGAAAGATAAAGAAGGGAGAGAAGCGATTTTGAAGTTGCCCATCAGCAGTTTCCATCTGGATGGTAAATGGAGTGGACACACAAATCAACAACATACAGACTATGGAGAGATGTATAATGTTTCTATTTTCTAAATTTGCGTGCATACATGCAAATTAAGTTTCACAGATTGTATGCAAATCTGAATCTTTTTTTCTGTTTTGGCAATGCACTTAGGTGACTGCCAACAAATTACAGATCCTGTGAGCTGTATTTCAGAGGAAGGATCTGGCAAAGCCACCTCTGAGTATTTCTTTCCTAAGAATGGAATGGACCATCATAACAGGGAAGTTTCACAACCTATTCTCTAAATTCACTCCAATCCTTCTGGATTACAACAACTGCATCTGCCCCTGGGGAAAAGATATCTTTGTATTTTTCTCTTGCTGGTAGTGGAAGTAAAAGCAGCAGTTTAAGCAAGAAGTTTCAATGAGAAAGTAGCAGAAGAATAAGGATTTGAGAAGCCCATGTTCTGCCCATGGTCTTATCATGGATGTTGTGTGTCAGGCTGAGGACAACTACAAAATGAATACAATTTTTATACAAGCTCTAGAATGAATCAAAGTTTGAAAAGGTTATATTGTTGGACTACACCTTCCAGATCCCCAACTTTGCTGTAAAATTCTGGAATTATAATCCAACAAAGCAATTTTATCAAACTCTGGTATAAAATTGTGTGGGAGGTAGATCAGTTGAATGCATAAAGAAAAATACAGACAACTTTGCAATTTTTAAAGGATGTGTTAAACTGTTCTAAATTGGACTGGACCATGAAATAGAAATGTGTCACCCTTATCCATGATAGCTATGTCTTACCTAAAAAGGGGGAATTTTCAGCCAAAAAAGTAGTTGATGGGGAGAAGTCCATAGTAGGACCTTAGAGGAAGATTCAGTGACAGGGTAAGATATTTTTAAAGCATGGTTTCTATAACAGGCTGCCTGTGAATAACTCCCTCCTTGTTGTGTTGGAGACCGGTCTGTTTGGGCACCCCTTCCTTACCCAGGAAAAAGGTGGGCAGTAATGCAAGGCAGACAGTCATGATTTAATCCAGCCCCGTGCCCCCTCTCCCTCATCTTCTCCTTCTCCCCTCCTTCCCAGCCTGTGGTTAAAGAAGTTACATGAAGTCATCCTCTGCAGGTTCCTTAAAACAAAAAACAAAACCAAAGGGGGAGGGAGGGGAAAAAAATCTGAAAGTAATTGATCGTGGGGAGGGAAGGAGCACACCAAAGCCAAGATTTCCTGTTCAGCGAGGCTGCAGAAAGATATAAAAAGAGGCTTTTAACATGCTGCTGACAGTCTTTGCAAGCTTGCAAAGGGAGTGGAGCCTTCTCTACATTTGTCTGCTTAACTTCCCAGATCCCTGAGGGTTTTAAAGCCACCGCAATGAACAAGTTCCTGTACTGTACACTTGTGGTAAGTCCTTTGCCCAAAGACTTTGGACAGGACACCATCAGAGTATCTAGAGTATTTTCTCTATTTTCTGATGCCTACTTTGTGTATTTGTCTACTTCTCTGGGTCTTTATTAGCAAATTTTCTTATTTTTCAACACTGCTTCCTAGAGCAAAGTGTTGATAAGGAATGAACCATCCCCACTTTTCAAAGAGGAAATAACTAACGTGCCACTTTTCCTATATGATGAAAGAGCTACATGGCAGATATAATTATAATCTTACAGTTCAGTTGCACAATCTTATTATTCTGAGTTCCAAAGTTATTTTATGTTTCTAAAAGAATGTATCCAAAAGTATATTTTATGTTTCTAAAAGAAGTTTCCAAAAGAATATTTTAACATACTGTATATAAATCTAATGACAAGAACTTGAGTAGGTATTTCTTTTTTAGTTATTTATTTTTCTTTAAAAGGGAGAAACTCCTTCACACTCCTAAATACTTGACACTGAAACCTTATTTTTTTGTAATCTGACTTGTGCTGAAAGTTTGGAGTCCCGTTCCCCCCCCCCCCCGCCGCTTTCATTGCTGAAGGTGGGGATTAAGGAAGGAACAAGTGAAAGTTGTTGGGTTTGGACTGCGTTATGGACAGAGATGTCTCAGTTCATTTTTATAAGTATGCATGTATGATCATGTGATTTGGAAAAGATTACTTTTGGACGAAAGTTCCCAGAAACGCCCAGCCAATTAGTCAGGTAATTCACCTGGTGGATTCACCTCTGAAGCTAGAAGCTCTCTAGTGTCTCCAGGAAAGATGGCAGAAAATTTTGATGGGCACATTTTATGTGTCAAAAAAGATTTTGTCAAAATGTATAATTTCTGTGTAAATCCAAAGGGAAGATTTCCAAAGAAAGTTGTTTTTTTTTGTTTTTTGTTTTTTTGTCGTGTCAGGAGCGACCTGAGAAACTCCAAAGAGAGATGAACCCTACTGAAGAATTTTAGCTGTTTGACACCACATTAATTGCTTGGCTCCATTCTATGGAATCTTGAAATTTGTAGTTTTATGAGATATGGTACATGCCCTCCTTTCTTAGAGTTCTGATTCGACAACAAATTACAAATCCCAGAATTCCATAAGATTGAGCCATGGCAGTTAATGTGGTATCAAACGTGTATAACTCTGCAGTGTCACCTAAGTTTGAATGCTTAGCACTTCTAAAAGTCTGCCATTGAAACCTTGTGTATTCACTCATACTTGTAATACTGAAAGTTTAGGTTGGCCACCTTTTTTTCTTTTCCTTTTTCTTAGAAGCTCCACATCTTTAAAGAGCTACATAGCAGATCATCTCATTACCTGATGAACTGGGCTAGTGGAAATGGCTGAGGATTTCATTTGGTTATTATTTGTTAAGACCAGTGTGAAAATTAGCAAATGTCTTCATCAATCCAGAAAAAGGAATATGAACTCAGAGGAAGTTTTGGTTAAAGTCAAGATTCTGGATACCGAGTTTTGATTGTAGTGTTGCCTCTATATTTGTCCAATATAACCGAGCTTGGAAAAGTTCCTTTTTTGGACTATAGCTTCCAGATTCCTCAGCCAGCACAGTTCACAAGTATGACTTTGCTAAACTTTGCATAATACACATCTTTGTACATTTTCTATGCTCAGTAGAGTCAGTTCCACTTTGAGTTCCCTGTGTTGCTGAAGACAGTAGTCCTACTGAGCTCCATTAAGAGCTGGCACTCTTGTGTCTAAACCACAGTCATTTGCTCTGCACCTTATTCCTAAATGCCCATTCCTCTGCCACTCTTGTTGCTTTCATTTCATTCATTCATTCTTTCCCTCCATCCCTCTTTGACTTGCCCGGTGAATCAATCTATGAGATTTACATCCCAATCTAGGCACAAGACATGCTGATGAAGCAGTAACTACAACTATATTTTGAAAATACCTACAGAATCCTTGGCAGAAAATTATTTATCTTGTGACTAATATGGTGAAGTGATGCTAGATGTTATGTAGAAGTGATTCAATATATAGTCAGCACATTTCATAGTGAGGATGATGAAATAATTATGAATACATGTCTCTGAGCTTTGTTTCAGGTGCACCTTCAATGAATTTGGTGAATTACTGAAATAATTCAGATAGCAATTATTGTGCCAATAACATGCCCTTTTTATTGATTTAGTTTCTGTGTAGGCAAAATGGACTGGTTCCTTGTCACTCTACACAATTATAGTGCTGTATGTTACTTCAAGAGCCAATGTGGTGCAGTGGTTTAAGTATTACACTATGAATCCCGTCAGCCATGGAAGCCCACTGGATGACCTTGAGCAAGTCATACTCTCTCAGCCTCAGAGGGAACACAATGACAACCCCCTCTAAACAAAATTTGCCAAGAAACCATGTGACAGGTCTCCCTTGGGGGTCACCATAAGATGGAAACAACTTGAAATTAAACAACAATAATACCACTGAAAAGTCATGGTAGCATCCTGAAAAATGTTGGAGTTGGTTGTTTGGAGAGACAGTAGACCTCTTTGCTTGATCATTCTAAATGTCCCTTCCTAAACTGCAAATCTCAAAATTCCATAGAGATTATGTAGAACTACTGTTGCCATCATTCCAGCCCGCAATGCCATGCTAGATGGGGATGATGAAGTATATGCCATATACTAGAAACATTCCTTTAAGAAAGGATGCTGCTCCAGTATAATTCACAGGTCCAGAGAGCCAGCTCCAAAAGGCCATGTGCGGTGATCAACTAAATTACAGGGTAAGCCCGGCTGGTATAAATCAGTTGCGTAATTTCACTCTAAAATACAAAACCAGTGCAGGGAACCCGAGAGGGATGTTAGGTCTTCCTGCACTGTCATTTCTGCAGCAGCTATCAGATCAACACAAGAACTATTATTTTATTTGCTATCCTCGATCTAAAAATTGAGGGTGGATGGGGGGAAGCTAAACTGAAAAGTGTAAAATACATCTTGAATCTGTCTTAGAACCTACAGCAACATCTAGTGGATGAAAAGCCTCCTTTGAAGTTGATAATTGAATCAGAATGCTGGGATGACAACTTTGTCCTATGCACATTCGTCTAGAAACATGAAATGCTTTTTAGTTATTGCACAGTGTATTTGGAATGCTGATCTGTTGACAACCCAATGTACAAATTAATAAATAAGAATAAAGAGGCACCTCATTTAATGGGGTTGTTGCCCAAATATATGCAGAGTTGGAAGTAAAGGTAAAGGTTTCCCCTTGACATTAAGTCTAGTCGAATCTGACCTTGGAGGGTGGTGCTTATCTCCATTTCTAAGCCATTTCTAAGCTGAAGAGCCAGAGCTCTCCGTAGATGCCTCCTAGTTCATGTGGCCGGCATGACTTCATGGGGCACAGTTACCTTCCCACCAAAGCAGTACCTATTGATCTACTCACATTTGCATGTTTTTGAACTTCTAGGTTGGCAGAAGTTGGGGCTAGCGAGAGGAGCTCACCCCATCCCTTGGATTCAAACTGCTGACCTTCTGGTCAGCAAGTTGTGCAGCTTAGTGGTTTAACCAATTGCACCACCGCAGCCTCTTTTTGGAAGTAATGCATTAACAAATAATGTTGTTAGCTTTTAGCATATTGCTTCTTTGCCAATATAGAGACAGTTTTGGATTTCCACACAGATACATGCATTGGGAGAGGGTTGGTTTCCTTAAGGGTTTTGTTTTAAATTTGCTTGCAAAAATATTGCATTGCCTCAAGCCTATTGATGGTTCATTCTTCTGCATGAATGCTAATGTTTTGGTTATGTAACTTAATGGCAATCAAACATAAGCTATAGTAATATAATTGAGGGCAACCCAATAAAAATAATTAGCAATTGGTTCAGGACTAAATAGTGAATAACCAGAGAAGGTCCTGTTTCACACAATGGATAAATCCTTTCTAAACTGAAAAGGGTTTCAAAAAGGATTAGATATCCCAATGATAGGTTTTTGACAGTGGACCTAAATCTCTAATTTCAGGAGAGATATATTCCTGAATTCCAAATGCTGGTAAGGAAGGGTGGGGGGTTCTTCACAGTGTGAACTTGTAGCTAATACTCTAGGCAACAGCTAGATCTAATGTTAGCCCAATTTAAGAAGACTCATTAAAATTACTTCCAAGTTGCTACTTACATAAATTGCATTAATGTGGGTGGGTTTATTCTAGTTAAGCCCAACATTGGATTGAGACCAGAATGGTGATTCATCCAGATTTTTCAGCCAAAGGCAATTGCAATCTTCTTAAAATTAAAGTAAAAAAAAGGAGCACTAGGATTTAGAGGCTGGACTTTGAACCCATGTAGACCTTGGCAGTGGCTTTCAAGGGAAAAATTAGACTTCGAAATGTGTTTGGAATTCCAAACAGATGGTGCTTTATGTGTTTCAGTAAATTCAAGCATTCTTCTGTGGTTTGTGCAGAAACCCCAAAGCCCAAGCATATAACCATATTTCTGAAGTCTGAAAAACTAGTCTATTTACCTCCAGAAAGCTGTGACTGAAGGGAGAGAGGTGCTGGAAGGAGCTTGGGTTGTATTTGCAATTGTCATCCAATTCACATTTATTTCACTGAATGGGAAGCAAAATGACATTTTGGTTTCCATTTCAAAATTGGTGGCAAAAGTGCTTCCAGGTTTGAGAGGAAAGTCATGTAATCTCATTTCCCTTTCAAAACCCTCTTTTGAGGAATAGGAAGGTGGCTATGAACCTCTGCTTGTTACTGGGCAGAAAATAGAAGACTACAGAGACATTTCCATGTATAAGTGTAAACAGAAACTTCACAACACATAAGCACTCTGCATTAATATTCTCCAGGCCATTTTTCAGTCTAGAAGAGATGTGAAACCATGAATGCCATTCACATTCATTTGTACAGGTTGAGCATTTCTTATTTGCAGTTCTGAAATCATAGGTAGTTAAGACACAGCTTTGTTTTCTGATAATTCAAACAATGTACACAAAATTTATTTCATGCACAAAATGATTAAAAATATTGTGCATAAAATTACCTTTAGGCTATGTGTATTAAGTATATATGAACAGTTTTAATCTTGAGACCTTGGTCTCTCCTCTTGAGACCTTGGTCTCTCCACAGAGATAACTCACTGTGTGTATGCAAGTGTTCCAAAATCCAAAATATGGAACACTTCTGATCCCAAACATTTCAGATAAGGTGTACTCAACCTGTAGTGATTTTTGAAAATTGTTTGATATACCATGGTTAAAATGTCCTAACTTGATGCTCTCCAAAGATTTTGTAGATAGGGACGAGAACTTTATTTGGCCTCAGACTATGTGCCCTGTGTTCAGGGTTGAGGGGAGTAATGGGCCACAACACCTAGAAAAGACCTTGAATCAAATATTAGCAATGGATTGAGCCTGGGCTAGGGCCAGCTGATGACTTTCATATCAATGGGCCAATGAATCCACTATGGTTTTCAGTCGAGACTTTAGAAAGCTATCCAGTGTGTACAACGTATGGGAGAGTAAGCAGATAATGGTCAGTGACTTAAATCACTCTTTCAAAATTCTAGTTAAAAGCAAGTGTGGACTCCCCAGTTATGGAAAGTACATTGCTCTGAGTTCAAATATTTAAAATCTGCTGTGTGCTACCACTCACCAAAAAGTATTTTCTGCTTTAAACTACGGTCAGTCTCTGTAACTTTTAAAATAATGAAAATTACTATAAGTTTATTTCTGGTTTATGCACATACTCCTAAAAACCTTTTTTTAATTATTGCTAAAGCAAGACTGTTCATCTTGGTTCACTGGCTAATTGTGCTTCCTGAATATCCCCAGATGTGTAATTTTCCTTCTGATATATATCCTTCTTGGTGGCCATCTGTCAGGGATGCTTTGAATGTGAATTTCCTGCTTCTTGGCAGGGGGTTGGACTGGATGGCCCACGAGGTCTCTTCCAACTCAAGGATTCTATTATTCTATGATTTTATGTTGTTGGTGGCAGACATTTTTCAGGTCCTGCAAAAATGGGCATGAAAGACATTTATCCACATGCAAGCAAAAACTAAAATTATGATATTTGTAATTGTCCTATTGTTAATCTACCTTCAAGCAATACTGATGTATTACAAATTTGTTTATTTGTTTAAAAGAACCATTAACATTGTGCTTTCTCTGTCCTAATAGCTGCTGGACATTTCTGTGAAATGGACCATCCAGGAAACCCCTACTCTAAAGTACTCCCATTATGACCCTATGACTGCCCGTCAACTGATGTGTGACCAGTGCCCTCCAGGAACCTACGTTCAGCAGAATTGTACGGCTTCCTCGAAGACTAAGTGTTCTCCCTGCCCAGATCAGTACTATGCTGATGACTGGAACAGCAATGAAGAATGCCAGTATTGCAATGTGGTATGCAATGAGCTTCAGTATGAGAAGGTTGAATGCAGCCGCACCAAAAACCGGGTTTGTGAATGTGTTGAAGGACGGTACCTTGAACTGGAATTCTGCCTGAAGCACACTGCATGCCCCCCTGGCTTTGGTGTTGTTCAACAAGGTATGTTTCTGTTTTTCAGGAAATACATTTATTTGGATTATAAATAAACAGCCAATTTCCTGTTTATCTGTGATAAGTATTATTTTTTTGGTGATCAAATCTGAAAGATGTTTGCTCTTGAAATAGTAGAAATGAGTATACAGTTGGTTCTCCATATATCCAGGCTTAACTTTTGCAAATTTGATTAATATGTTATCTTCTCCAGCTCAATGCTGTATTCATTGTTGATTGGAAGACATACTACTAGAGAGAACACTTCTCTTTCTCTCTCTAGGCATTTGCTGGTCATCCAGAGCAATTATGTGGCCAACTTCTGCCTGAAGCTAACCATAGAATAATACCACACAAGATGGCCAATTTCAACATTCACACTTGCCTCAAACAGACAAGAATTCTTTCTCACACCCTGGACATTATTCCACAGATATATAAACCTCACTTGCCTAGTTTCCAACAAACCTCACAACCTCTGAGGATGCCTGCCATAGATGTGAGTGAAACGTCAGGAGAGAATGCTTCTGGAGCATGGCCATACAGCCTGGAAAATTCAACCCAGTGATTCCGGCCATTCTTAGCATCCTATATAAGGTAGAATAGCTAGTGAAAGCTAATTTGGAACTTGGTTCAAATTCCATCAAAGACATGAAGCTCAAACATCACCATGTACCCAAACAGCTAGATATAGCATCCAAATTACTTTATAGTGTTGTGAAGGAAAAACTGAAGTAAATTTACTTATCATAGTCTAAATAATTTAATCATAGGTGAATGTGGTCTTAACAAGTTGACAATTAGGCTCCGGAGCTGTCTGACAAAGGTACAAAGTAGAAGTGACCCAAAATCAAGTAGTGGGGCATTATGTGGCAGTGTTGGGACTAAAGCAAACAAGAAGCATTTCTTTAACAACGTTTCACCTAGCTAGCCCCACTTACAAATAATAGCTTCCATTTGAAACAGTCTCTTATTGTAAGACACCTTCTATTTGAAGGATGTCACTCCAATGTAAACATGAAGAATCGAAAGAAGACAGAAGGAACTCTTGATGTTCTTTATGCAGAGTTAGCATAAAGACAAGGAGCTCCCAGTGGCACAGTGGATTACACCCCTGTGCCGGCAGGACTGAAGACTGACAGGTCGCAGGTTCAAATCTGGGAGGAGTGTGGATGAGCTTCCTCTGTCAACTCCAGCTCCCCATGCTGGGACATGAGAGAAGCCTCCCACAAGGATGCTAAAAACATCAAAACATCCTAGTGTCCCCTGGGCAACGTGCTTGCATATGGCCAATTCTCTCACACCAGAAGTGACTTGCAAGTTCTCAAGTCACTCCTGACATGAAAAAAAACAAACATATAGTATGTTGAGTGAGTAGAAGAATCACCTGATCCCAAGCTTCTCAGGCTCTATTATACAGTTAGTCCTCCACATTCACAGGGGTTAGTGGTGAAAAGCCCCTTTGAAAGTGCAGAAAATGTGGGGGGACAAAACACTCTTCTTTATAACCTGAGAGAACACCTGTCTAGGATCTCTAGGTCCTCCAGCACGCATTGACTATAGAGCTATGCTGAGAGAGACCTTATTAATCAAATATGTGTATAGTTCAATTTGCAGATTTGGAGGGCTTACTGTGCACTTATTTTTGTTATTTCAAGAGCAAAAGCTTTCTGGGTGTGATCACGTGGAAAAGATACCTGCGCATCATAGGTAACCAATTTGCACCTGTTGAACAAATCTCCGTATTTTTTCTCTACTATTTAATTATGCACTTCTTTCTTCCTTTGCAACAAATGCTACAATAGATAAATCACTACCATTCTACACATCACCTATGTAAGGTTTTGGTCACTTCATTAGGGCACAGTAGATTCCTGCAGGGGACTGCCAGTGCCAGTCATGTACCTTTAAAAGTTCCTGGAACAAACATGTCCATTTCAAGCTGACAGACAGTAAAAATTTATTGCAACGTTTGTGGAAAAACAGCCCCTGTCCTTCTAAACATCTCCCTGGGTTGTCGCCAAAAGTAATGTTGCTCACAGTGGCAAAATGTTCAGCTCTTACTGTAATGGGTAATTTAATGGCAGCTGCAAATTGCATTCTAATGAGAAACATGATGGATCGACCTCTGTCTCGGGGACATTATCTGGGATGCAGTATTTATGGGTTATAGCTAATAACATTTTTCACTGGGAAGAACGCTGTTTCCAGCCTGTGCACTCTTTGACTAACAGCAGACGTGTTAACTGATAGAGCACCCAGAGAGTAATTATAACAATATTAGTGTAATAGCAGAAGTCATCGCAAATGTCTGGCCATAATTAATTACCACTGTCACAAATGGATACTCATAGTGCCTGCGAGTGCATGCATATACGAATGGTTCCCAGGTTATTTTGACAGCCCCTCTTTCCATTCCTTGTAGCTAAAGCACAATGACAGCAAAGGGAGCAAACAACTATTTTCTTTCCTCTGTATAGGTGCATCTACACTAAAGAATCAGTGTAATTTGCTAGGGAAACATGGGGAGTTGGAGTTTTATGAGGTCTTTGGCTATATCTGCCAAAGAGTGTTAGTGCCTCACCAAAATACAACTCCCACAATTCCATAGCATTGAGCCATAGCAGTTAAAGTTGAGCCAATGACACTCAACATCTGCTACACGGTTAGGCAGGATCATTGTGCATTGGCCTTCTGATTTTAGCATTGGCCTTCTGATTTTAGTCCTTAGTCAACTTGAGTGAAGTGGCAAACTTGTCCTATGAGCTGTAACTGGAAAATCAAGACAGTTGGATGAAGGAAAAGTTTTGAAATCAGGATAAAGGCACTTTGGGTTCAGTCTCCCTAGTTTGGAGAACAGTCTACCTGCAGACAATATTGCGTTATAGCATTCAGATATCTTAAGTCCATATACAGTTCAACTCTTGTATCCGCAGAACTGATAGACGGGATTTAATTTATTCATGATTTGATTTGTTTGTTTAGTACCTCCTATACAAGCTTCACTCTCTTATCTGTCATTTGTCCCATCGAAAATAACCATGATTCAACAGAGTCACTTGAAGTTAAGGAAACATATCCTCTGTATATATCAGTGACACACTGTAATTTAAATATTACTTAAGTCTAAACATCTGAAAGAGGGAAGGACTTGTATTTGGCAGTGGGCAAAGCTGCATTTTTCTGAAGAAATTCTGACAAAAAAGCCCATATGAATTCTGAGTTTGGGCTCACCTGTTCCCTATAGCTATGGCTACTTTCGGGGCCAATCTGGTACTATTAGCAAAAAGGATCTAAATTAGTAGACAATTTATCACTGGTATTATTACCAAGATCCTTTGTGGGAGACTCATTATAATAGGAAATTTAAAAAGGGCCTCCCAGCCTACAATTCCCATAACCTATTCTTGTAGCATATTGGTGGCACCATTGTTCCCACTGATATAATAATAATAATAATAATAATAATAATAATAATAATAATAATAATAACAACAACAACAACTTTATTTTTATACCTCGCCAACATCTCCCCTAGGAGACTTGGGGCGGCTTACAGAGGGACAATCCCAAAAATTGCAGATAAAAACAGAAACACAATTAAAATCAATCAATAAAATAATAAACAAACACAGTCATAAAAACAACATCATAAAACAAAATAGCTGGGATAAAGGAAACATAGCCGAGTACAGGCTCAATGTGTCAAATTCCTAAATTCCTAAAAAAGGGAGCCAAAGAAAATGCCAAAAACAATAAACGAGGGCTGGGGATACTATTGTTGAAAGTGTCAAGGTGCCAATAAGAGGGTCAAAATAAAGTGCAGAACTTAAAGTAGGGACAGGATAGTTTCCTAGCAAACTGCCTAATCAAATTTAACTATTCCAAGATTAAGGCATTCACCACTTAAACATCAAGCAAATGGGTGGCCATTGCTGACTTCATAATTTTAAACAGAACAGTTAAAAAAACCAAACCCAAAAAGCAATTTCCATAAGAATATTCTTTTTCTCTCTTGTTACTTTTGTCTGAGGTTCTAATGATGAATCTATATTTAAAACAGCCTCACTGTTTTCATCATCATTAGTAACCAGGGACTTTGAGGACATTGGTGGTGGAAAATGGTATCTTCTTTGTCATACTGATTATTCATCAACGTTTTGCATTGCAATGAATTTAAGGTGGCAGAAACAATGTAATAGTCCTCTTTCTAAGGTATAACCAAATATCCCTGGCAAAGACATTTTCCAGAATTCAGAATTCAAAACAATCTTAACATATTAGAGAGATGGGCCAAAACTAACTAAATGAAGTTCAAGATATTCCATTTAGGCAGAAAAAAGGAAATGCAAAGATACAGAATGGGAGATGCCTGGCTCAACAGCAGTGGAAAAGATCTTGGATTCCTAGTGGACAACAAGTTAAACATGAGCCAACAGTGTCATGCAGCAGCTTAAAAAGCCAATGGGATTTTGACCTGCATAAATAGGAGTATAGTGTCAAGATCCAGGGAAGACATGCTACTATTATGCCTTGATTAGACCACACTCGGAACCTTTATTATGCCTTGATTAGACCACACTTGGAATCACACTGTGCCCAATTTCTGTTCACTGCAATTGAAGGGAGATGTTGAATTTAAGGTGGCAGAAACAATGTAATAGTCCTCTTTCTAAGGTATAACCAAATATCCCTGGCATAGACATTTTCCAGAATTCAGAATTCAAAACAGAATTCAAACCTGGGATATGTCAAGAGGAAAGTGACTGAAATAATCAAAGGTCTGGAGAGCAAGCCCTATGAGGAGCTGGGCATGTTTAGCTTGCAGAAGAGAAGGCTGAGAGGAGGCATAGTGACCATGTCGAAATATGTGAAGGGAAGTCATAGGAAGAAGGCAGCAAGCTTGTTTTCTGCTGCCCTGGAGACTAGGACCTGGAACAATGGCTTCAAATTACAGGAAAGGAGATTCCACCTGAACATTAGGAAGAACTTCCTGACTGTGAGAACTCTTCAGCAGTGGAACTCTCTGCTCAAGAGTGTGGTGGAGGCTTCTTCTTTGGAAGCTTTTAAACAGAGACTGGATGACCATCTATCAGGTATGGTTTGAATGTAATTTTCCTGCTTCTTGGCAGGGGATTGGACTAGATGGCCCATGAGGTCTCTTCCAACTCTCTGATTATATGATTCTATGAAATAGGACCAGCTGTGAAAATGTCTATACCAGGGATACAGGAATAGGGATGCTCCCCAACCTTGCAGGGTTTCCTTGGGAAGACAATGTAATCTGATCATATTTCAGAAGAGGTGCAGGTTCACATGAGAGCATGTAGTGTAATGGTGTGAGCATTGGACTACAACTCTGAAGGGACAAAGTTCATTTCCCTGTTTGGTCATGGAAACCCATTGGGTGACCTTGGGTAAGTCATATATTCAACCCCAGAAAATTCCATGTTTAGGTCACTTTAGGGTCACCATAAGTCGGAAACTAGTTGTAGGCACACAACAACAATGGATTGACATACAGCAAGAACTAATCTCCTGCAGGATGTATGTCTTTAATTGTCCTAAAAACAACAACCAATTGACAGTGCATTTCTTGAGCTTCTGCTTCTCTCAAACTAGATTAGGAACAATTTATTTCTGTGGTCTATATCATGAGCTATGCGTATTCATGGCCATAATAATATTTGTTCTTGAGTGCTGTCAAAATGCAATTTGCAATTGCAGCACTTTCACTAAAAAAAAGTATGATGTGTCAATCATTTTTACACCGAAGTTCCTCAAAACCTATCACTTAAATACAGAATTGCTTGGTCTGATTTACAATATCAATTTAATAAAATTCATTGCCTGCAGAAATTATTTATTTGTTTCTTAAAATATTAATCTCTCACCTTATATCATTGAATCTTAATGCAGCATATAGTAAAATGAATTTAATGAATTTGAAACTGTCAAAAAATAACTCAAACTAAAAGCAGATGAAACCATTTCACTAGTTAAAACAAACAAAAAAACAAAAGACAGCCTCGAGCCAGTAAAAATATTGGGAACACTATCCTGATGAAATGAATTAATATTATTTTATTGAGTTTTGAGTAATTATGCAATAATCTAGCCAACTAAAAGAAAAAGAATCAATACATAATCTTCACACTGTTGCATTACCAAGCACAGCTTACTTGTGAAATCTTTGGAAACTCAATTAGTGTGTCCATCAGCACAATTTGTTTCTAAAGCTTTAATTTCATGATTTCATGCTCTGACCCAATCTATATCAACAAATAAAGCTCAGATGTTATTTATGTAAGGAATGCATAAATATACAAGATGCCAATGTGATCAGAGGAAACACGTGGCATTCAATATTCAAATAGTTGTGAATATTCTTTCCTTCCTTAATTTCCAACAGTGGTCTCTGGAGATGCTGTGTCTTAAGTGGTAACACATAACTTTCCCGATGTGGGCAAACACAGTAGACTTCACTACCTATCCAAGGAGATATCAAAATAGGGTTTTCAGGCAACTTTGTTCAGGGCCATCTCTGGATCATTTTCACTGAACTTTGGCCTATGATTTATTTTTGTGAGGTAGTCAGTCCCACTATTCCACTGTAATCCCCACTGTATTTACCTGGACATTTTGCATATAATGGTTCCAGGAACCACTGTGGATACCCAGATCCATAGGTGCACAAGTCCCATTATAGAAGATGCCATAGAAGAATAGTATCCATAATATAAAATGGCAAAATCAAGGTTAGAATCTGTGGATACAGAGGGTACATTTTTGAAAATACACTGAACTCATACAAATAATACAAATAATTCACCTGGATTTTGAATTGGGCCAGTTCCTTCAGTGGAAGACTACATCACATGACATTACTAATGTGGATACACGGTACTAAAAGAAAGAGGTGAGATTTCACATGTCAATCAACAAGGTGGTGATAGATGAGACCTTAACATTGCTTTTTAATATTTTGGATATATATATTCTTGAAATCCAAAATGCAAGCTTAAATGTTTCCATTATCTTGTTTATGTTCCTTAGGTACTCCTGAAAGGAACACGGTTTGTGAGAGTTGCCCAGAAGGCTATTTCTCCAATGAAACATCATCCAAAGCTGCCTGCCATGAACACACCAACTGCAGCGCATTGGGCCTCAAAATGGCAAAGAAGGGCAATGCCACCTGTGACAATGTGTGTCAGGGAGAAAGGACTGACAAATCAGAACAGCACTGTGCAATTGGTATGTCAAGATTTAAAAGCATAAAAAGTTACTAGGTTTCAATGTCAGACTGGAAAAAAAATTACATTGGGAAAATACATTTAGGATTTTTACACTGAGAAAATAACAGAGAGCATATAACTGGATTTTTGCTGACCGTTCCATAGATAAACCACCTTCTTCTGCTAGTCCCCTGACCCACATATTAATTATGTTTATTATTACTATTTCAGATATAACCTTATGTGAGGAAGCATTCTTCAGGTTTGCTGCTCCTACAAAAGTCCCACCTGGCTGGCTGGATACACTCAAGGACAGTCTGCCTGGTATGAAAGTCAATGCAGAAATTGTTGAAAGGATTAAACAAAGGCACAGTTCTCAGGAACAGACCTTCCAGCTGCTGAAATTGTGGAAGCAAAAGAACAAAGATCACAAGAATGTTATTCGAGGTATGCATGCATATCTTTTAAAATGCTGGTCTATTTGTGTATTGTAAGTGTGAACTTTATGTGCTTGTTGTTGTTCTCTTAAATATTTAGAGGTAGAGATATGTGCAGCACAACAGTGGCTTGGCAGAACAATGAGAAGAGAATGCCACCATTCAGGCATTAATCCTATTGTTTTCCAATTTGGAGAGATTTATTGAATCAGTGAAATTCATCAGTCTATTTGATGTGTCTACTCAGGTTGGGACCAACCTATAGATTTCAAGCCACAGAGACTCCTGCTAAACATTTATGTAATTGTAAATCAACCTACAAACATACAGAGGTGTATTATGACAATGTGCAAGGTCCATATCAGTAATTCCCAACCTTTTTTTGACCAAGGACTACTTGACCAAGGCTCATTTTGGCCAGGGAGCATTTTGATCAGGAACCACTTGACCAGGGACCACTTGACCAGGGACCACCTTGACCAGGGACCACTCTCCAACTCTCCAAATCCATTTTTGGTCAACTTTAGATTCGGTTTGGTTATTCGGGGTGCTGATTCAGAAAATTGCATTGGACAGACAACATCAGCTCTAGTTTCTGATACAGAACATATACCATCCAGTAGTCACCATCTGCTCACCCAGAGTAAACCATATTTAATAATCTAGAGCTGATGTGGTAATAGCAATTTTTCGTGGGTAGTCTCTCCCCTCCCAACATCTCTGTTGCCTCAGCGCTATAAGAAGATTTTGCGAGACCAGTCGCTCTCGTTGCCATGTGGTTTTGAAGCAACGGAATAGTAATGGTGAGGCTGCAGACCATATTTTCATTCTTGGGGACCATTGGTGGTCCATGGATGACAGGTTTGGAATCACTGGTCCATATTATTGAAGGGGAAGCAGAGACATCTTTAGAACCATCTTGCAAACAGAGCCAGCAGTATGCCCATTGCAATATGTCCTCATCCTGTCTCTTCCAAATCAATGATTCTATGATTTTATGTCAGGGATGTAGCTATATTATCATGTGTCATAGCTTCTAATGCAGCATCTCAGTCAAACTGTAGCATGCCTATATTACTGCACTAGACTTGACAATCATGGTTTTCTCCTAGAAGTCCTAGGATCTGTAGATCCATGTAGGAGCAATGCTAGCTAACACAGAATTTTAGCACCCGAATTAATTCTTCTTGACTAAGAAGGGAATAGCTTAGGAGAGGGATCAACATAAGTTGGAAAAGAACTGTTATGGACATTTGCCTTGGCTATTACAAATAAATAAGCATATCCTTTTGCTTTCTCTAGGAATGGATCTTTGTGAAAACAGTGTTTTGAAACAAATTGGCCATCTCAATATAACCTCCGAGCAGCTTGTCATCCTGATGGAGAACTTACCAGGGAAAAAAGTAGGGAAAGAAGAAACAGAGCACACTCTGAGGATGTGCAAATCCAGAGATCAGATCCTTAAGCTCCTCAACTTGTGGAGAATAAAAAATGGAGACCAAGACACTATCAAAGCCCTGACATATGGGCTGAAGCACTTGAAAGCATATCATTTCCCCAAGACAACCATCCAAGGCCTCCGGAAGGTGGTCAAGTACCTCCACAGCCTCACAATGTACAAATTATACCAGAAGCTTTTGTTAGAAATGCTAGGAAACCAGATCCCTTTGGTAAAAGTGAGGCGTGGATAGTTCCAGCTATCTGGTCTTTTATTTGCCATTTGCTGCTAGCATTTATGATTAAATCTGAGGAGGGGGAATGGTTTCCTTTATTATGCTTATTTATATTTATATATCTGACTGGGGTAGCTCAGAGCTATCTTGGACCTGTTGTTATTATTGTCATTTTTGGTATTGCTATGATAACACTAAAATCCTGGTTTGGAATGTTTGTTCATCAAATATTCCCAATGAATTTAACATGATGTGCAATGTAATACCAGACCAGTTTATTTATATTCCCTGAAATCTAGAATGTTGTATATATTTATTAATTTATATGGCAACTGTATGAGATCAAGGGTAGAAACAGATTGTTATGCTTTTCCTTGAGAATTCATCTTTCTCGGAAGACACAGGAGACATACTGGAAGAACACAGATAGCCAACCAAGTCTTCCTTCAGTTCAGCAAGGTTTGTAATAGGAAAAGGAATTGGAGAAAAGGCACAGACACCCTCCCGAGAAAGGTGAAGTTTTCAGTGTCGTTTCCAGTTCTTCCCCTGTGAATAAAGTGATAGGATGAGTTCCAGGCAAGAAGAATACAGCTGTGAAACATGCTCTTTAAATACTACCTGGAATGTAGGCATGAACTGAGCAGACTGCCTTTATATACAAGGACATTTTTCAAGGCAAACTACTGGGTTCAATCACTCCTGCTCACAACTCTGAGCAATAGTTCAAAAGTGTCAAAATCAGCAGCCTTTCTATAAAGGAAGAATTGGTAGCAAACAGTTCAGGGTCAAGAAAGCTAGAAATGAGAACAGGGTGGAATCATGGTGATCAAGGTCAGTAATACAGTCCAATAGTCATAAATCAATACCTACAACAGCCAGTTGCGATGTAAACTGAAGGAAGACTCATTTGGCTATCAGGTACCTGCACTTTCTGCAGTATGTCTCCTTTGTCTTCTAAAGAAAATTAACTTTCAAGGGGTCGCATGATATGGGTGACCACTTACTGAATGGTTGCTTGTAGAACGTCCCATATGGTGAATGCATAAGGGAGAAATAAAGGAGTGGCCAAATGTAAAGAGGGCAAGGGGTAGCAGTTCTCATCCCACTTTGTTACCATGATTCACATTATTCTTCTGGAGCATGTTTAGCATTGCTTGCTATGAGATACAAGCCAGGATCCAAATCAATGTGAATGGCTCCCTGATTCACGCACAAGAGCTTTAAAGCTCCCCTTTTAAACAGAAGTCCCACCCTCTTCCCTTGAAAGGAGAAGGCCTTCCTTATGTGTTCCATGCTTAGCAGAATACTGTTGATGCACTTCACTTGTGGTTGCACTTTTTCTAGTGTTGCAGAAATTCAGTGGTGTTATAGATAGATTGACAAAGGCTGGAATCCTGTTGTTGACATGCCAGCAGTAAGCAGCCTAATTTTTTGGTGCCTTGGCCCTGCACAGATGATGCACCACAATCTTTTCTTCCTTCTGCAACCTTCTGTGCTACTGTTCCTACATAGTGGATCAACAGGATTCCAATCCATGTGTCTTCCTGTACAGAGAGTAGTCCTCTTTTTGAGAGCATACTTACTTGAAGGCCATCTAGTACAATCAGCATATGTGTAGAGTTGCACCCAGGAACCATCCACCTGCTCTTTCAACCAGAAATTAAAAAAAAACCCCAAGATTCCCATCCAGCACAAGTACTCTGGTGAAGGTTTACATTGAGCAATACCTCAACTTTGAAAGAGCGTTAGATAAATTCATGTAATCTATGGCCATGAATGGCTACTAGTCCAGGTGGATGTATATCTCCACTAACACTAACGGTAGCACGGCTCTATATATGGAAGGTACATTGTATTTATGTTCTGCAGGCAGGCTTCCCATAGGCAAATAACTGGTGAGTCAATGAAAGAAAGAACGCTGGACTACACAGACTGTGGGTTTCATCCAACACGGTTTTTGGTTGTTTTTTGAAAAAGCTATCTCTAACAATGTCTGTGAACTGGGCATTTGTCCCCATTTTTATTGAAATGTATGTCCAGCCAGAGGTGCTGTCAGTACCCGTAACTGTAATTCTCTTCCTTCCTTCCTTCCTTCCTTCCTTCCTTCCTTCCTTCCTTCCTTCCTTCCTTCCTTCTTTCCAGCACTGCCCAATTTTTAATGTCAACAGAGCTGCTAAGTGGGAAGCTTTTAATCTGTTTCTACCCTATTTTTTAAAAAAGAAAGAAATTGAATGTACACTTTGTTTTGAAGCTAAAGGGATGAGGAGATATATTTATAAGACGCACATATGTGATGCGTCATAATAGATCCTTCATTTTTCTTCTGTGGATTTTTAAAGATTGTTTCATAGATTTGTCTGTATAGGTGGTAATATCTTATGGATGTAATTTCCTCTTTCAGCCAGTTTTTTTTATTATTATATCATGAAAGTATATGAAGAACAAGCTATACGTGAAGTATTGTTTTTAGGACATGAATGTATCATATTTAAAAGATGTGTTGGATTTTGATATGTTTTATAAAACTTGCATTTTTTCATTTAATCCTTGTGGTTTGTTTCTTTCGCCATTGTTGTTCAGTGCACACAAAGACTGCTAATCATATACTAGCATTCAGTAGTGGAGAAAGATACACTCAATCTCCTGGCTTGCTTTAGATATAGTGCACTTTTAGATAGTATGCACCTTTGTGAGTGAGTATGAGATTACTATTTACTGCTCCACCTTAGTCAGCAAAATAGCTTGGGTTGACCCTGCTTATGGTAGGCCAATTTATTAAGTTGGGTTTAAGATAGACACAACCACATCCCATTGAGTCAATGTATTTAATCTAAGTAGAATCAAATATTAGAATAATTACTTTGGACTACAGCTCCCAGAATACTCAGCCAGCAAAGCCAGTAGAAGATAGCTCCCAGATTTCCAGTGAATTGGTAAAAATCTTGGAAGATAATCCTGGATTTCTTTCTGGTTGCTGTTTCCTTCTCTTCCACCCATAGTCAGTAGATACCTATGTCAAGGTTGTTCTGGATCTTGGCAGCTTCTCTCCATAGAATCATAGAATCATAGAGCTGGAAGAGATCTTGTGGGCCATCCAGTCCTTCCAAGAAGCAGAAAAATCACATTTAACGCACCCCTGATAGACGGCCATCCAGCCTCTGTTTAAAAGCCTCCAAAGAAGGAGCCTCCATCACGCTCCAGGACAGAGAGTTCTACTGCTGAACAACTCTCACACTTAAGAAGTTCCTCCTAATGTTAAGGTGGAATCTCCTTTTCTGTAGTTTGAAGCCATTGTTCTGCATCCTAGTCTCCAGGGCAGAAAACAAGCTTGTTCCCTCCTCCCTATGACTACCCCTCACATATTTATACATGGCCACAGGTTAGGGGAATTCATAACTGCATGGTCAAAATCCTGCTGGTTATACTCTGTCCATTGGTTCACAGCCATTGATTTCAATGCGCTTACAACTAAATCAGAAGCCATCCAATGTACTTTTTTTCATTTAATATTACAGTTCTTTTGCCAGGAGGTACCATATAGCTTTAGACATATCATGAGAAGACAAGGCTTGCTATAATAGATAATAATGCTTGGTAAGGTAGAATGCAGTAGGAAAAGAGAAGGACCACATTCAAGATAGATAGATTCAATCAAGAAAGCCATGACCTCAATTCTGTAGACCTGAGCAGGGTTTTTAGGATAGGATGAGTAGGAAAAGAGGCCATTGGCAAGACATGGATAAAAACAGAAATTCTGTAAGGTCAACTAGATATCTACTGGGGCAGAATACACGAAGATGACATAATATTTCAATCAGATACAAAGAAAAGCCTACAGGTATCATATTGTGCATTATTTTGGGAGCAATCTGTTAACCTTCTTATATAAAATTTAATAATGAGCCTACACATTCTGTAATTTTCTGTATTAGAACTTATAGCAATATAATAAAAAATAATAAAAAGAGAAAGGTTTTTAAAAGAAGAAAAAATACTTCTGATCTCCCTCTCATGAATTATCTATATAGATTATAGAGAGAGAGAAAGTCCTCAACTTTTATGGGGATTAGGTGAGTAGGGATCTCATAAAAGTGGAAAATTGTAACTAAAAATGCTGTTTTTTACCTGAATGGATACTTTTCTAGGATTCTCCAGGCCTTCTGTGGTGACTCTATGGTCAGCTTCCACTGGAGGTTCACCATAGACTCACCCTGGAAAACCTGGCAATTTCCACAGAGAAAATGTTGATCAAATCTATAAATAAATCTGGAAAGGTTAAACCCACAAATGTGGATGGCTGACTGTACATGCATATTATTCATACATCCCTCATTAACAATTGTCAATATCCTTCTTTCCATAACCAGTCCTTACTCATCATCAAAAGCAAATGTTAAAATGTCATTTTCTTTTCTTTTGCTTTGCAAAAAGTCAATAAGAGGTTGCCATTCTTTTTTTAAAAAAATCACTAATGACTGCTCACTGGTCAAACAAATTAATTTATCAATTTCATGAACATACATATTCTGACCATATATCTCAAACACTGAAATGCTCTATATTATGTGGCTAATCAATGCCAATTCTCCAGTGGTATCCCCAAGTCTGAATGAATTTCCTTAAATTCTGAAGATTTTTTTTACATAAATCTTCCACTTATGGCAAGGATTGCACTGAAATGCCTTTGAATTAGACTAAGGCCATGTGAAAAACTTAATATCCATGTATGGCCTGGATTAAGATGATAGGAATTTGATTCAGGATGTGGATCAAATTTATTTATTTATTTATTTATTTATTTATTTACAGCATTTATATACCGCCTTTCTCACCCCTGGGGGGACTAAAAAAATCCAGTTTGTTCTGGAGTGTTCACACAGACATTTTGGGAACCAGCTGGAAGGTGGGACAGAGTTCACAAAGATCACAAAGATGGTGGGTTAACCTGATACAAGGAGTGTACTTTTTACCTATCTCTTTCTCTGCAAAGAAGCACCTTATGTGATAGGGATTAGCATTAAAGCAAGGCTAAGAAAAGTGGGAAAGGAAAAGCACCTTCCTTTCTAGTGGGAAGATGTTTGCTTACCTTCTGGCTGAGCTACACAT